GTAGGCTTGAAGTTACTGGACACATAGGCTGTGTCCAGGTTTCATCTGCTCACTACCTGGAGTCCTTGAACTGTAGAGATTGTGTCCATTTCCAACATAGGTTGTGTCCATTTCCTTTCTTGTAGAGATTCAACACTAGTTCTGATTGTTGGTTGGGATTTCAGAGTAAATCTGTGTGACTATATAAAAACTGTGCATGACACTGTTCATTTTGGGGTTTTGGAGGTCAGAGGTTTAATAAGATTCTAATTAAAAGGGCCTCTGACCCCAAAAGGTTAAGAATCACTGACAGAGGTTTTTGCACATTCACACATATCCCAGATACATCCCAAACTCCCATGATGCTCTGCGCAGTGTCACAAAGGAATGACTTAGTTAAAAAGTTAAATGTGTGAGGAATATCACAAAACGAAGGGGAAAAGCAAGCAACACTGAATTAAGGTAAAAATTAGAGAGAAAATCCATAGCATTTCATTAGGTTGCATTTTATTTAGATAAATGAAAATTTGCCCCAAACAGAACTAAGACTCAAATATTATCTTCGGTTAAAGAAAACTGCTAGGCTTGAAGCTTACACTGAAAGCTAACATTTTCAGCCCTTAACTATCTGTAGCTCCAAACAGCAAAGGAAATTTCTGGAACAAAGTATACGCATACACAGAGAGAGAGACAAGTTGTGTGAACCATTAAGAAAATAACCCTAAGGGGCACATTTTATAGTCTTCAATTACAAGAAGTGGAGAGAGATTACAAGTCTTGCATTGCTTTCTGTTGTACATGGTTCCATTAGTAATGCCAAAAATAGCAAAATTTAGGCACTTGCTCCAATTTCTGCAGTTTACACGGTTACTATGAACGTCATAAAGTAACGGCAGCTTTAGGATTATCACACATAACTGTATTTCACACTTTTGTTAATGGCATTCCTCGTTACAGTAAAACGATGTTGCTTAACAGACAGAGGTACAAAGCTTGCACAGAAGTAGTCAGGGCCCATTCAGATGTTAGTAGGAGAAGCAGAGTCATGAAGAAAACCAGTTGTGATGACCTGCTTGGCCATATGTCAGTACAAATGGGATGAAATAGCAGGATGGAATTTAAACCAAAAAAAAAAAAAAAAAGGAAATCTGTTTACCACAAATGACACAAATCTTTAATCTGCTCAAAATAGCACTTTCTTCCTGCCAGAGAGAGGAAGTTGAGTCAATAGCAAAGCTATCATTGAACTCCTTCCAAACTGCTGTCATCTCCAATACTTTTTGGTTGAACTTCAAAAATTGACACTAGTGCCTGGCCCGTGTGGCTCAGTGGTTGAGCGTTAACCTATGAAACAGGAGGTCATGGTTCTATTCTCTCAGGGAAGATGCCCAAGTTGTGGGCTCGATCCCCAGTAGGGGGCATGCAGGAGACAGCTGATCAATGATTCTCTCTAATCAGTGATGTTTCTAAATTTGCACTAGCACTTAAAAAAAAAAAAAAAAAAAAAGAGAAACTATTTAATTAGTGGTCGCCAACCTTTCGGACTACCAATGGTCCTTGAACCACAGGTTGGCAACCACTGATTTAGATCACAGGTTCCTTTTTTTTAATTTGGAAATTTTAAAATTTAACAATTAAGCACAGGTGGTTATTATACATGAGAGTAATTCCCAAAGGGCTAGCCAGTGCTTTCCAGCTACAAGGCCGTACATTAGAACAGTGGTCGGCAAACTGCAGCTCTATTGACTGAGTTTGTTCACCACTGGGATGGGAGCTTAATCACAAGCAACAGCCTGTAATTACTGAAATCGAGAGTCTAGGTCAGTGGTCGGCAAACTCATTAGTCAACAGAGCCGCAGTTTGCTGACCACGGCACTGGAACTCATGTTTTATTGTAGTCAGGTGTGTATCAGAGCAACTACTCTTCAGTTCTAAAAGCAAATATTCTTTCTGCTAAAAAGCTATACTAGTCTTTTTAGAATGTTACCCTTTAAAATCAATTGGCCATTAAAATTAAGTTCTCAACGTGGGAGTACCGAGTTTGAGTAAAATTTTAAAAGTGTATATGCCAGGCCAGTTTACCTGCGGGAAAGTGGAATTTTAGGGCACATAACTGACTATTGTTGGTGTGGCAACTGTTCGACGGAATCCTTTACATATTAACAAGAATCAGAAATCATTCTTAACATTAAAAAAAAAAAAAATACAAGATCACCTGTTAGGCGAGGCAATTTTACGACTAAGCCTTCTTAAAATTGCTTTTTAGAAACACTCATCATGAACAAAAAGTAATGCAGAAAATCGACCTTTTCAGGAAGATACCACCAGATGGTAGCATTGTACCAGTTCCGTCCATCTGAAAAGCTCCTGGCTTAATTTGGCAGATGCCTATCTGCTACGACTTCCTTTGAACACGAACTCAAACCGGTATAAAGTGGTCACATCACACAGCAACTACATTAGAACGTTCTAGCTTCTTCTGCTTGTAGAAGGCGGGAGACACAGGTCTCAGCCTTCCTAGCGTCTAGTAAAACCAGCAAATCTAAGGGAAGCAAAGCTTTTATTTAAATCAGTTGTCAAATCACAGTTTATCCCAAGGAACATAATGCAACGTGGTTCTGAGAGTGGGCACAAATATGGCACCGACACAACCCAGCATCTATCAAAATGCCCACTGTAAGGAGCCTACTTGCTTCATGCTGGGCGGAAACATGATCTAGCATGTAAGAGCAGAACCCAAAACTTAAAAACAGCTGATCCTTTTTTTTTTAAGAGTATGAAAACTGTCACTACTTTGCCTTGGGATTTAAGCCCACATCTGTCCAAACCACCATAACAATTAGGAGGACTGGAAGTTAATCCACTACTGAAAAAAACAAAACAAAACCCAAAATACTTCCACCCTCCACAAAAACTTCACAGTAACCACAGAACCTTCTATTTGCTTCCGCCCAAAGGATGCTTTTCATGTTTAGCACACGGTGCACAATAGGAAGGTGACTGGCTTCAGAGTAATACTAAATGCGGGCCTGGTCCCTAGGGAGTTTGAAAGGGAACGTGTAACGTCTGCTCAGGAATGTTATGCTGGGAAGCTGTTTTCACAGGTCCTCCAGGAGGCTCAGAGCTGCCGAGGGGACACGATGGCCCGTGCCCATCACAGACTGGGATACATCAGAAACGTACTCCGCCGCACCATCTCCTTAAACAGTAAGAAAAAAAAAATATACAATAGATACAGGAGGAGGATTACTTAAGACACACATATAAATACATCAAGAATGATACTCCAGTTTGAGAGGTGGAACCAGGTATTGCCAACGCTAGTTCCCCGGGTGAAGAATTCAGGATCTCGGATGAGAAACACGATATGGCATCGAGGGGATGCGACAGGCGGTCTTGAGGAGGAACCGGTTCTAGCTCCCGATGCAGCCTCAGGATTGTCGGGGTTCTCTGGGGACCAGATCGGTTGGCGGGCCTGTTCTTCGGATCTCACAGTTCTGAAATCGTGGTCTTGGGTGTCATCAGCAGCATTCGTTTTCTTCTACCACTTGTCTTCACATTCTGGTCTTGCAAGGGCACTCGTGTAACTAGAGGAGAAAGACAGATTCGAAAGTAAATACAATCTCCTTTTCCTCTCTCCTCCTTTAGAGTATAGGTGAGCTGCAGTCAGTGGCCACCCCAATCCCATCATTTAATTCTGTAAGAAAGTAAAAGGTGCTCTTTGACTGCAAAGCCAATGTCTGAGGTTCCCTAAGGTGCCACATGCGCTGGAATCTTTTAAGAAGTGTTTGTTAGCCCAGCCGGTGTGGCTCAGTGGTTTAGCATCTACCTATGAACCAGGAGTTTGAGGCTGGTTCCTGGTCAAGGCACCTGAGTTGTGGGCTGAATCCCCATTGGGGGACTTGCAAGGAGCAGCCAAATGATGATTATCTCATGACTGATGTTTCTCTCTCTCCCTCTCCCTTCCTCTCTGAAATAAATAAAAATATCTATTTAAAAAGTGCTGTGACTAATGCTGGGGGGGAAAAAATCATTTTTCCTCTAAAGAGCTATAAAATGAATTTCAAGCCGTGTAATATAAACCTACTTTGAGATTCTAGTTGTAAAAAAATTCAACAGACTAGTTGGTATGGGGCCGAGTGAGCACAACGTATTTCTTAGATCTCTGGCCAAACACACACATGTGGGCCTTTATTTTCTTTGAAGGCAGTCACATTGGGGATGAAATGAAATCATTATTTTCATGACACCAATATGACTGACTGGCATTCCCATCAGAGAGGAGAAAAAAACTAACCTAGATCTCCTAGCCAGGGGTCGGCAAACTCATCAGTCAACAGAGCCAAATATCAACAGCACAACGATTGAAATTTCTTTGAAGGGCCACATTTTTTTTTTTTTAAACTTAAACTTCTAATGCCACTTCATCAAAATAGCCTCGCCCGGGCTGTGGTGTTTTGTGGAAGAGACACAATCAAGGGGCCAAAGAGCCGCATGTGGCTCGTGAGCTGCAGTTTGCCGACCACGGTCCTACTCTGTTTGATGGGCATTTCCCAACGGCAGGTTCCACCTAAAATCATACTGGTTTGAACTCCTGCTTCCCCTGGTATAAATCTGCCGTCCAATGGCACGGAAGAGGAAAGAGTTATTTCAGAAGATAAAGAAGCTAGCTTAGCCGAAACCGGTGTGGCTCAATGGATAGAGCGTCGGTCTGCGGACTGAAAGGTCCCGGGTTCGATTCCGGTCAAGGGCATGTACCTTGGTTGTGGGCACATCCCCAGTAAGGAGTGTAGTGTGCAAGAGGCAGCTGATGGATGATTCTCTCTCATCGATGTTTCTAACTCTCTATCCCTCTCTCTTCCTCTCTGTAAAAAATCAATAATATATATATATATATATATATATATATATATATTTAAAAAGAAGAAGAAGAAGAAGGAGGAGGAGGAGGAGGAGGAGGAGGAGGAGGAGGAGGAGAAGGAGAAGAAGAAGAAGAAGAAAAAGCTAGCTTACGTGGCGTTTTAGGACTCTGCGAGTTCCGGCGTGGCTGGCTGCCTCTCTTGCTCCTGTGTCTCCTCCGGAGTCTGTGTTTTGATCTCTTTTTCAGGCGCGCTCTGCCCTTTTCCTTCCTGAAACCCCACCTCCTTCTCTTTTAGCTTCGGTCCGTTGGCATCCGGGGACTCTTTGGTTAAGTCCCCCGAGGCCTCGGGGTCGACCAGGGCTGAGATCTGGTTCTCGGGGTAATCGACGGCGTCACGTCTCTCCTTTTCTTGGGCTTCGTTCTCTGTTCTCTCCCCCAAGCCGTGGGCTCGATCGCCGAATTCGGGCTCAGACCTGGTTCCGGTGGCTTCTCTCTTGTCCTGGGCGGGGTGGACGAGCTCTTCACGCTGCTGGGCATCGACATGGGAGCCTGGGACCCCCGAGGCCGCGGCCGTGGCCTCCTCTGCAGCCGCGGCCGCGCCTTTGGGAATGTCGGAGGGGCTCTGGCCCACGGTGGTCAGCGCGGACTGCTCTCGGGCCGCGTCAGCCTCTGCCGGGCCCTGAGGTTCCCCTTCTTCTTTTTCGATTCTCTGCTCGGCTTCCTGCTGGTCAGCCTCCGTCAGCGGGGCCGGGGGCTGGCTGTCGGGGGCCGTGTCTTCGGTGCTTACTAACTGGCCCACGGCCGTCTCGATGACGTTTTGCACGAGTTTCTGGCTCTCCGTCTGAAGTTGCAAAATCTCCTCTTCGGCCTTTAAACTTTCCTCTCCCGTCTCGCTCACGCTATCTCCCTGACCGCTAACCTGCTTGCTGTCTTCTTCTTCGGACTTCCCTCCTTGAGAGGTGGTTTTCTCTCTCTCCGGGTCGGCACTGACGCCTTCTGCCGGGGTGGCTGCGCCTCCCCCTGGCTGACCGACAGCGCCTCCTCCGTCAGAGGGCTCTGCCACGGTCACGGGGTGGACCAGGCTCTTGCTGAGCTCCACGCGTGCCTCTGCACACTCCCAAGGCCTAGCTGCCTCGAAAAGCTGGACGGTTTCTCCCAAGACCTGCTCCTCCACAGACACAGCTGCGAGCGGTAAAGCCGCCTCCGGGCTCTGAACTTGGATGTCTGTGCAGAGCGCTTGCCCTTGAACTAGCCAAGCAGAGCTTTCCTCAAGACGGCTAACTTCCTTCTCCCCGTCGATGACGGTCACGTGGACTGACTGGACCCGCTGGCTGCTGAGCACGTGCACTGGTTTGGGCTCACGTGCCTCTTCCCTCACGTGGGCCGCCTGGGCTTCCGTTTCCTCCCTTTCCACTTGCACTGCCAACTCTCTCTCCCCTGGGGCTGCAGGAGCCTGAGCAGGGCTCTGGAATTCAGTCTTTTCATTCTTTGGACCATCAGCTTCTTCGGTCACTTCCTCTTTAAGGGCGACTTCGACGGTCCTTTTCTGGCTCGCTGTTATGTCTGCGTCCGCAGACACGTCAAGTCCTTCCACCGAGGGCGCGTCTTTGGATGCCTCATCAGCAAACTGGCCGGCCTCTTGAGTCACCTCCGCCTTTGAGAGAATGGGCACCGTCTCCACTGGTACCTCTTTATGTTCTAGACCCTCTTCGGTTTCCGGGTGTTCTTTCTTTTCTTCCTGGGATTGGAGCCCGGAGGGTGCTGGGCGCGTCTCTCTCAGCGGGGGAACTGCCTGGGCCTCCCCGACCCGCGGCTTCGTACCGGGTGCGCCTTCCCCCTCTGCGTGGACTTCCGTGGCCGTGTCTTGCTGTGAGCAATGGCCAGCTTCACAGTCGGCTACGGGGGTGCTCCCACTGGCCTCGCTGTCAGTGAGGTTTTCGGCCGAGTCCGGGCCAACAGCCTGTTCCAGGACCATCCCTGATTTCACCCCAGCCAGGGTTTCAGCGTGGCAGGGGGCTATGAGCTCGCTAGACGTGACATTCTCGGGGACTTGAGGGACTTCTTCAGCGTGTTCTGGGGCGGCCTGTCCAAGGACCTTCCCCTGTGGCAGATCCTCAGTCTTCGTTTCTCCTGCGTGTCCCTGCACCGCCACGCCCGCCTCCTCCACGGGAGGATCCTCTTCGGCCTCTGCCACCTCTGGCAGCTGGGATTCCACCTTCCGCGTGGCCCCCGGGCCCCGGACATCAAGCTGTGACGCTTTTTGAACCCTTTCTGCCACCGCCTGCAGGACCTCCTGGGTCCGCCGCTCCTGGCCCTCCACGTCGGCCTCGCCGCCCTCCACCTCCTGAACTGGCGTGGCCTCCTCGGTGGTGTCTGGGGACTCGCTCAGCTGGGAGACGGCCGAAACCATGTCGGCGGTCTCCTCGGCCCCGGATGCCTCGGTTGCCTCCGTGGGTTCTGCAGCGGTCACTGCCTCGGCAGTCAGTTCCACCTCACCGGCCACAGTGTCCTCCCCGGCCTTGGTGTCCTCCCCGGCCCTGGTGTCCTCACCGGCTACGGCGTCCTCACCAGCCACAGTGTCCTCACCGGCCACAGTGTCCTCTCCGGCCCTGGTGTCTTCACGGGCCACAGTGTCCTCCCCGACCCTGGTGTCCTCACTGGCCCTGGTGTCCTCACGGGCCACAGTGTCCTCCCCGGCCCTGGTGTCCTCACCGGCCCTGGAGTCCTCCCCAGCACATCGGCTCTCAGGCGGGGCCGGGATGACCTCTCTCTCCAGCCCCGCCGCCGTGGGTGGCCCGGCTTCCTCTTCGGCTCGGTCCACAGGCCCTGTCGCCGCCGCCGACGCGGAGATCCAGGAAGGCGACCGCTCTTCGATGTCGGTAACGGCCCTGGCCCCATCGACGACGCCCACGGTCACGGTGTGGACTAGGCTCTTGCTGAGCTCCTCGGACACAGAGACGGCCCCCTTCCGCTCGGCCTGCTGCGCCTCCCGCTTCTCCCTCTCCACCGCGTCGTACTCGGCCAGCGGGACCACGGCCGGCACGTCGGAGTCCTCCTCGTGGGCCTCGGCGGCGGCGGCGCCGGCGGCTTGGTCTTGTTTGCCGTCCGACCTCTTCTTCCTCCGCCCGGGGATGAACTTCTTGATGGAGACCCAGGACTCCTCCTTCCCGGGCTCCCCCTCCGCGGCCGAGTGCTCCGCCCCGGCCCCCGCTCCGGCGTCGTCGGGCTTCTCCTCCGGTTTGCACTTGGGCTTTTTCCTCGGGGTGACCAGCCGCTTGAAGGACTCCCAGGTGGAGACGCCGCCCTCCCCTTCGGACGGGCTGCCCGCCTGCTCGGGCGAGGAGCTCCCGGGCCCCGGCTCGGGCTCCTGGGAGCCGGCGGGGACGGCGTCTGGTCCGGCCTCGTGGTCTTTCCCTGCGTCCTCCGGCCTTGGGCCTTCTCCCGCCGCCGCCGCCGCCGCGGGCTTGGGTCCCTCCTCCTCGTCGGAAGAGGACGCTTTCCTCGCTCTCTTCTTGGACGACCCCACGCAGATCAGCGCCTCCCAGGACACGGAGGTGTCCACCTTGCGCCTGGGCTCCTCGGCCTTGGGCTCGTCCCCGGGGCCCTTGCCCTCCTCCGGCGCCTCGGAGGCCGCGCTCTCCGCGGAGGACAGCGTGGCGCTCTTCGCCTTCTCCGGCTCCTCCTCCTTGTCGCTCTCCGAGGGCCTCCGCACCCGCTTCTTGGGCGTCACCATCTTCTTGAAGGACGCCCAGGGGGTCACGCCCTCTCGCTTCTTCTCTCCGTCGGAAGCGGCGCCCTCCTCCACGGCCTCCCCGTCCTGGGCGGGCGCCTCGGCGATGCCCCTCTCCAGGCAGGTGATCTCCTCGGGCTCCTCGGGGGAGGACGCCGAGCTCTCGCCCTTCTGCTCCTCGGGGCTGTCCGGGGAGTCGGCCGGGGCCGCCGGCTGGTCGCCCGACTCCTCGTCACCCCCCCTCTTCGCTTTCTGCTTCTTCCCGGAGAGTTTCTTCAGGCCGGAGCTGCTGAAGAGCTTCTTCAGGGGGCTCCCCTGCGCCTTCCCCCTCTCCTGCGAGGCCAGCATCTCCGCCTCGCCCACCACGCCCTCGGGCTGGGCAGGCGGCGCCTTCTCGTCATCGGGACTTGCTTCGGGAGGCTGGGGGGGCTGGAGGGGCTGGGTGGGGTCCCCTCCAGGCGCACCCCCTGGTGGAGGTCCAACTTCCTGAGGCTCAGCATCGGTTTCGGCCAGCTTTTCCGATGGCGGGGGCCCCTCTGGTCCTCCCACCTCCGCTTTCTGCTCCTCCGCCCGCTCTGCCGTGCTCACGTGGACCTCTGCCACGATCTCCACCTTCTCGTCAAACACTTCTGTGGCTAACGGGGCGCATCGCTCCTCGGGGGACGCCTGCCCTGGACCCTCAGCGGGCAGCTCCACCTTCTCGTACTCGGCCGACAGTCTGGCCTCCCGTGGCTGTGGTTGTTCGGGGGCAGCCGGCTTCCCGGAGGCGTCGTCCGTCTTTTCCTTTTCCTCCGCGTCTCCTCGGTCTGGCTCTGGCTCCTCCTCCTTCTTCTTCTCCGAAGCGTCCAGCTCATCGTCCCGGGGCTTCCGGAAGCTGGTCTTCTTTCGCCAGCCGGCCCAGCCCTGGGTGAAGAATTTTTTGAAGGGCGACGCCGTTTCGCTGGCCACCGGGCTGGTGGGAGAGTCTGGAGATTTGGCTGGCTCTTTGTCTTGTTTTTCTTCCCCATCTCTGCCTTCCCCGGCCGCTTGACCGGACTCGGCTTGGAGAGAGATGTCTGAGCTGCTCTGCTCGGGGGGTTTCGGGGTGTCCTCGGGTTTTGGGGTGTCCTCAGGTTTCTCTGCGGACTGTTTCAGCTCTCTTTCCTTATGTGTTGCTTCGCCGGCCTCCCGGCTGGGCTCCTGGTGGTCACCGGCCCCCTCGGACTCTCCGGCTCCTTCACCTCCCTCTTTCCGGACAGTGAGCAGCTGGGCCGGGTCGGACTTCTCGCTCTTATCCTTCTTCACAGTGAACTTAAAGCCGACAAACTTAAACACCTTCTTAAACCCGACGTCATTGGTCTGGGCCAACTCGGCAGGCTGTGTTAGCTCTTCTAAGTTGCTCTCCGAAGAAGGGACCTGCTCAATTATTTCCGGCATCTCCTCCTGCCCATCCTTTGCCATGTCCTGGACCGCCGAGGAGTTGGCAGCCATCTCCTTGTCTGACTCTCTCTCATCTTCGGACTCTCTCTGTCCAACTGGGAACAGAAAAAAAGGGAGGGGGAGGGGAGAAGAAGGGACAAAACATTAAAATTCAAGAAAACGAAAACATGTTGAAGACACAACCAGGTCACACGTTCTTTAAGGTCAGCCAACTCCAGGATAGGGAAGGGTCTTACCTAGTACTTGTGAATCTCAATAGGTTAAGGCGGTGTCTACTTCTCTCAAATGACTTACAAAATTCAGGTTTAAAGGTACGACTCTGCTCTTTCCGTGAAGAGAAGGTTAACAGTCAAAAAGTGAGTAGCCACAACATCACAAAAGGCGGGTGAACCAGACAGTGTACATTCTGTTGCAATGCAAAACGGAATCACCTATCACACCCATGATCTAGAATCCATCACGTTTTAGACATAACTTGTTCCATTTTATCGGAAACACTGGGTTGAAGAAATAAGCGAATAACAACACAAGCAAGCAGACGAATTGAAAGGAGGGGCATTCTGTGTGATCACTAGTCTGGTCTCTTAACACTAGAGCTCCTTGGGAAATTCTGGTTGGGTCAGGGCAAGTATGAAGAGTATTTTTCAGCACAGCAGAAAAGAGGAACTCAAAAGCTGAGGGAGGCGTATCAAAAGGACAAAAGCCAGCTTGAAGGGGCTCCTTCTGGCCAAACTTTGAGGCATAAAAAGGAATAGTAACAGTGATAGGTTACAATGCATTTAATAAAATTAAAAAATCCAGGAATCGAGAGTGCAACTAAAGCCCTGGCTAGTTTGCTCAGTAGTTAGAGCGTTGATCCCATACAGAATGATTTCAGGTTTCTCGGTCAAGGGCACATATCTGGATTGCAGGTCTGACCCCTGCCCCCAATCAGGGCTCGTGTAAGAGGCAACCAACAGATGTATGTCTTTCTTACATCCATGTTTCTTTCTCTCCCTTCCATTCTCTAAAAATCAATGGAAAACATATTCTCAAATAAGGATTAAAAAAAAAAAAAGAGTGATACTAAAAAAATAAATGGGAGCAGGGAGTACTTCCTTATGAAAAAAAATACCAATTCATAAATTTAGATATAACTTCCATTTTGATCCTTATATTCTACTGCATCAAGAATTAAAGATCTCTTTAAGTGCATTTGTAAGGAGGACGCACTACTCCTTACAAATGTCCCCAATTAACATATTCACAAACACTCCTTATGCAACGCAAGAGGTGTGACCTCCTTTTTAAAAGGTAGATAGTATCATTGGAAATTCACCAGAGGAAAAATGCCAATTCCCCCCTCTTTCCCTCCCCCAATAAACTCTACTCTGGTAGTTTTACTAGTAATAAACAAAAACATAAGTTCCCCACCAGTGAGCACGAGGAAAAAACAAACCCATTCATTAACCTTTCTAGAATTCAATGGAAAAGGCAGGGACATTGTGCTCACCCAGTGGGAGAGCAGGTGTTAATCACACCATCCTCCTTCCACTGCCCCTAAATCTGCATTTCAATCCGCAACACTTTTCCTGACTTCTGGGAGGATGGGGTGTTTACAGGCAAGACTAGGGAAACAAAGGCGAACTGCTGCCAAGTGCTTATAGCTTACCAAGATTCAGGTGTCTTCTTTATAGAGGGGGTTTATGCACATGTTAAAAAATGTATGCAGGATTACAAAATTTGTTGACCTAAGTAATCCTAAGAGCCACTCTTGTCAGAGCATCTTCCAGCCGGGCCCCTGCGGGCACAGACAGCGCCCTGGTGCTCTGGGCAAAGGCCTGGCAAACGCAACTCTGCCCCCATTTCAGCTCCACCCGCCTCCTGCACCCCGAGGGTCTGTGTGGAGCCTGCGGAGACACCTGCTTCCTAAAATACCGCTTTGATCACATCAGGAAGCTGTCACACTTTTTTTTTCCCCTTTATTGATTAAGGTATTACATATGTGTCCTTATTCCCCTATTAACACCCCCCCCCCCCAATTCACGCCCTCACCCCTCTGCTGTGTCCATTGGTTAGGCTTATATGCACACATACAAGTCCTTTGGTTGATCTCTCCCCCTTACCTGCACCGTCCCCACCTTCCCTGAGGTTTGGCCTAGAGGGCAGCCCTCTAAGCCACCGAGCCCGAGCCCGGTGGCCAAGGCTTAAAAATGGGTTTCAACGTAAAAGCCAACCATGATCGCACACCTGTGCGTGTATCCTGCCCCAAACCACATGCGAGCGTGCGGCTGCCACGGAGCTGGAACCCGCCCTGAAACCCGGACCCCGCTCTCGGTCTCATGTACTTTCTTTCTTTTTTTCTTTTAATATATTTTATTGATTTTTTTACAAAGAGGAAGGGAGAGGGTTAGAGTGCTAGAAACATCGATGAGAGAGTCATCGATCAGCTGCCTCTTGCACACCCCCCACTGGGGATGTGCCCGCCACCAAGGTACATGCCCTGGCCCGGAATCGAACCCGGGACCTTTCAGTCTTCAGGTCGATGCTCTATTCACTGAGCCACACCGGTTTCGGCTCTTGGCCCCATTTTCTATTAATCGGCCACACTCACCTCCCGCTGCTCCCCAACAGCAATGCCTGCGCCCCCCTGTTCTGGTCACCCCAGGCTCCCTGTCCCGCACCCCCGTTCTGGTCACCCCAGGCTCCCTGTCCCGCACCCCCGTTCTGGTCACCCCAGGCTCCCTGTCCCGCACCCCCGTTCTGGTCACCCCAGGCTCCCTGTCCCGCACCCCGTTCTGGTCACCCCAGGCTCCCTGACGCTAAGGATGCTTTTGGGAGGCAGCATCTCCCACCTCTGCTCCCGCCTCTAAGGGCCTCATCGCCGTCCCGCCCGCCGGTTCCCGCGGTGACCCTCCGATGGGGGGCGCCCTACTCACAGCAGAGGTAACTCCACCAGGGCATGGTGCCCGCCGCTGCCACCAGCACCGCTGGGCAGGGGCTGCGCTACAGGGGCCCGGGAGGCCCAACCTTCCCCTCCCGGTTGCCCCATCGCGGGGTGGAGACTGCTGGCCGCCGGGGGCCGCGCTGCTGATGACAGCGCCCCCTGGGGGCCACCAGGCGCGTCACAGAGGGAGACCTGCAGGTGGGCCTGCGCATCACCGCAGGGAGGGGGTCCCTCTGCAAACCCTGGCACTCTGGAGGCTGATCCGCTGCAGCTCAGCCTCGCTGAGGGTTCCCGGGCCTCTCTCTTACCCGCACCACATTGGGCAGAGCGCTAACGGAGCAGGTGCCCAAGCCCTCTGCCCTCGGAACCGCCAGTGCACATGAGCCGTGGACTGCAAAACCCGGCCTGGCATGAACCAAGCAGGCCTTCGCTGGGTCGTCAGAGCTTTCCTTTCTGGAGGATCGGCACAAGGACTGCGACCTCGGACACGTTCCCATGACAGTTCCCATGTACAGTCACACATGAGGCCTGTGTTTAAGGGGTCCTGTGACCTGGCCACTGTCACATGGCAGGAGTGTGGCATCCGGCGGGCCAGAGGCTGGCAGAGGGGCAAAGCACAAATGTTACCACTTTAAAATAATTCCGTATTTTTTCAAAGTGTTAAACTTCTTATGTGTCACAAATCATTATACCTTTTTATTATTTGTAAGTGCCACTTATGACAAGAAGAAGTATTTACACGTGTCAATGCCCACACGTAGATCCGGAAATTGCTATCTGTCTAATGTGGCTAGCAATTTAAATTTCATTTCATTGTAAAAAGCTCTGGGTTTTTTTTCATGGTTGCTCTCATGCTAAAAAATAAATAAATAAATAAAAATAAAAAGGAAGGAAGGAAGGAAGGAAAGGAGGAAGGAAGGAAGGAAGGAAGCACAGGTATCCTACCCACCCACTCACAGATTCTGAAGAGAATATGACAATCATTTTTTAAAAATATGTATTTTATTGATTTTTTTTTTTTTTTTTACAGAGAGGAAGGGAGAGAGATAGTTAGAAATATTGAGAGAGAAACGTTAATCAGTTGCCTCCTGCACTCCTCCTAATGGAGATGTGCCCGAAACCCAGATACATGCCCTTGACCAGAATTGAACTTGGGACTTTTCAGTCCGCAGGCTGACACTCTATCCACTGAGTCAAACTGGTTAGGGCTTGATGGTCTTTTTTTGCAGCCATCACGAAAAGACTGGACAAGCAAGTACGATGGGTACTAAATGGGGGTCAGAGGGGAAGCGGGGACTGGATATTTACATGCTTACTAGTAGAAAGGGCAGGTAAAACCTGGTTATACAGGGGAGAGAAAAAAGGCAAAAGACTTTCACATCAACCTATGAGTGACAGATAGACATGGGTGCTATTCCCTGAAGAGGACAGACCCATGGCTAAGGATGCACAACCTGAAGTGAATCAGGGGGAAACAAGCACTGAGGAATGTAATGGAAATGCGAGAGAACTAAATGCTTTGAACATGTCGGTGTTTTAAAAGGCAATGGTTAAGAAAATGTTCCAGACGAAGGAAAGATGCTGAAGAATATAATACCCAACCCAAACATGGATGTGGGTCACAGGAGAGTGTTAAAAATGATATCATTAGAATAATGGGTAAGATTGAAATAAGGATGCTAGATTACTTAAAAGCACTGTAATAATGTAAGTATATGACATTGATAACTGCACTGTGATTATGAAAGGGAATATGTCTATTCCTACGAAACACACATGAAGAATTTGGGAGTAAAGGACCCAGATGGACATAACTCACCTCCAAAGATTCAAAAAACTGTATCTCGTGTTGGTTTGTGTTTGTGTTTTGTGTTCCAACATAGGACTCAATAATGAAGCACAAGAGATAATGTTAGCAATAGCTGCATCTGGATGTTCCCTAGACTGTGTTTATTCGTGCAACTTCATGTAAATTTGAAGTTATTTGTGTGTTTTAATATATTTTTTATTGATTTCAGAGAGGAAAGGAAAGGGAGAGACAAACATCAATGATGAGAATCATTGATCAGCTGCCACCTACACACCCCTACTGGAGATCGAGCAACCTGGGCATGTGCCTTGACTGGGAATCCAACTATGACCTCCTAGTTCATGGGTCAACATTCAACC